AACAATATATAGATGTTCTATACGATTCAACGTAAGATAGATTTTTTTTTCTTTATATATTTGAATAAATTTCTATTTTCTAGACGATTAGAATCAATTTTAATGGATATAACAAAAAAGTGTTCTTCATCGATTAGATAAAGATAAAATTCCATTTGGATTATTATCTTCTATTTATCCTGGTTTGTTTTGTTTTTTGTTTTATTTTATAAATTTTTATAAAATAAATATGAATTTAATAGAAGAAAAACAATCAAATGAATCAAAAATAGGACTTAATTCAATAACGGCTGTATCAAGATTTTGCCTTCACCCTCAGCTGTTGATATGCTCTGTAAGGCTTGTATCAACCGGGACAAGTACACGTTATCTCTTAAGCTATTGGTCTAGGATCCTTGGAAATACTTTTGATGAACTTTCTAGGGGCTAATTAGTCGGATTATGTCAATACAAGAGGGGGGGGGGGGGGGGGGGGTCGATAAGTGTATTTGTCCCCTTGGAACTCTTAGGACGTACCATAAATGACGACGCATACTGGAGTTCAGGATTTTTACGGCGTAGCGCATACATGACATTGCATAGTGAAGTTCAGGACTATCTTCCCGATTGACTAGGTAAAGAAGCTTATCATTTTCAATGACAGAGTTCGTTGATTCGTAGTAAAGCTTATTTCGAACTCTAGATTGTGGTATAGATATGGCATTGGGTGCAAGTTGTAAATAATGTTTTCTTTCATTTATCTTTGTAATATTATTTAGAGCAGTCCAAAAGTAGTGGTGAAGGTTCTCTTTTTCTTATAAATAGCTAAAAAAGAATTCTTTTTTTACCAATCGATAGAGCGTCTTTTGCTCTATCGTTCTATGTTATTTGATCTATATCCATCTAAGATTATAATAAAAAAGTTTCGACAAAAACTTTTTTTGATGTAGTCTGGCTCGTAGCAATAGTGGAGAAAACCATCTACAGGTTTGGAAATAATATCATTCAAGGGGGTACCGCTATAATTTCAAATAGAAGATATGATGAATTTTATACCAAATGAAAGCCAGGCAAAAATGGGATTTATCTGTATTAAATGGTAAGGGGTCTGTAAAACTTTATTATATCAAACATAACAAATCCCTAGAAAGAAGGTGCAGAAAAATGGTCTTCTAAGAAGATAATTCTGTGATTTTAAATGGGGTCAATAACAAACTTTATACTAAATGAAAGCGCGTTAAAAATGGGATTTATCTGTATTAAATAGTAAGAGTTCTTCCGAACTTTTTATATCAAACATAAAAAATTTCTAGAAATTTCTGCAGTATTACCTCGTAGATAAATGTGGAAACCTCGGATTTAAATCCGAGACTTGTGTGTACTTCAAAAAGTGAATGAGACAAATCGGTCATCCTAGAATGTGTGGATATAAAGATTAGCTGGCAAATCCTTTCTATAAACACTTGAATTCTATTGGCTACTGCTCAAACAATAGGATTTCGGGGTGAATACAGATCAGATTTGAACTCTTCGCCTTGAGTTATCCTTAAAAAGTCGTTTTTCCTATAAATTGATTTCTATTGGTTAGTGCTCAACCAATGGGGCTTCGAGTCAAATGGATTACAGATTCGAGTTCTCCATCCCAGAAAACCTCGAAGTATTATCTCTGTAATCGAAAGATAGAGCTCGAATTGTTGATCGATTAGAGCGCAGACAAAAACAGAACCGATTTCCGTTTATTTATCCTTGCAATAGGTGTGCTAGTCTTCTTATTTCTTTATGTTTTATATACCATTTTGTAGCTCTTGAAATTCTCTATCAAATGGTATATAATAGTTGGGGTTTTAGTTGACTATGATAGGAAAAGCTGTTTACGGAAGCGGGAATGGGTCGATCTTTCCATAGGGAAGGTATAGGGAAAAATGAGTATTTTTGCAATAACTCACGGAGGGCTCGGCCAATCCTTCTCATCTTCGAACTTGACTGAGATATTGTTAAGACTGAACTGTGTAGAAAATTTCATCGCGATCTGACTCTCCTTTCAAAAGTTATCGTGTAAACGGACGGCCGGCCGGACACACTGACCGATTCTAGAGTGTACTCACTTTTTGAGTACACAAAAAGGGTGGGTGAGGGTGTGGGTGGGTGTGGATGTGGGTATGTATGAGTGTGTGTGGGTGTGGGGTGTGGGTGTCGGTGTGCGTGTGGGGTGTGAGTGTGGGTGTGGAGTGTGGGTGTGGGATGTGGATGCAGGTGTGCGTGTGGATGTATGAAGGAGAAGACTAACACCCACACCCACACCTACACCTACACCCATACCCACACTCACACCTACACCCACACACCCACACCCACACCCACATCCACACTCCACACCCACACACACCCACACCCACACCCACACATACCCATACATACCCACATCCACACCCACCCACACCCATACCCACAACCACCCACCCACACCCGCACCCTTTGATTTTGATATTGTGATTTGGATAGAGGGACTTCCAATCTACAGTTTAAGATATAATCTGGATGATCATCTTCACGTATTATAATATTAAGCAAATCAAATTCTTTATTTACTTCCTCGAAAGGTATGAATTTTTCTTTATTTTTAAGCAAATTTTCTTACTTTTTGTGAAAATTTTATCTCAACAAAAGTTAATTTTTGTGCCTTTTTTCGATGTTTTGTAAAAACGCTTGATTTTAAAATGATTTCGTCTTATACAATTTTGGAGAAAAAGATGCTTTAGTGTTATGTCTTTCGCCTGGCAAAAACCGCAGCTTTCTAGCTCTTTCCTTTGTTGAGTTATTGCAAAAATGGCCACGACTACTACTTTTTTTAACAGACAATAGTTGAAATTCTATCCTCATTCTTTTCATACAAGGAAGAAGAGAAAATAGACAAAATTTTTGATTTCGTTTGTACACTGTTTGTTTTTTGTCGTCAGTATAAGAGAGATGATATCATTGTTGTATAAGTTACGATTGAACTAAGTTCATCTCTTCTTCTAGAGATATGCATAGGAGAACTTTTTCTGTCGTGCCCTGTTTTGTCTTGCTGCCTTAGTCCGTCCAGACGACCAGCAGGACAGGACACCAGAACAACAGCACCATCCTGTCCTACGCTTAGCTCTATCTTCTTCCATTTCTGCTTTCATTGTTTCAATATCATTTTTTATTAACAAAATTAACTCATCATCATTGGGTATGCGTTGTAACTGAATTTGTACGCTTTTTTCTAATGTGTTTATTGCTTGTTGATAATTTCCATTCAAATAGTAACTTGTAGCTATCTTATCATAATTGATTGCAAGATTTTCATATGTCATTGGAATATGTGGATCATCATGCGGCAAATATTCTTGTTCATTGTTAAGAGCTTCGATTGCTGCTTCATAATTTTCGATTTCATGATAAGTCATTGCCAAATCATGGTATACGGATCCTAAATCTGGATGCTTAGAAGGGAATATCGTTTTATAAATATCTAAACTTTTATTGTAATAACTTATGACTTGTTTTGAATCCTTTTTTGACTTATAGACCAAAGCAATATTTCTGTATGTTGTTGCTCGATCTGGGAGATAAGAGGAAAGATGATTTAGTTGAATATTCAAACAATTATCATAACTTTGTAGTGCAAGATCGTATTCATGTTTTTTGTGATATGTTTCTGCAATACTACTGTGAATAATCGAAAGTGATAAAAATTCATGTGGAAGTTCGAGTTTAAGAGCTTTGTTGAAATGATTTAATGCTTCATCATAATTCTCTTGAATAAAATAAATTAAAGCAATACTATTGTGGAGTTGTAAAAGACATGAATTATCGTTTGCTATGCTTATTAGAGCAATATCAAGTGCTTTTTTGTAGTTGATCAACGCCTCTCCATAATTTTCCATTTCAAGTTGAACATTAGCGATATTGCTGTAGGTTGCTGCTAAATCTGGATGACAATTTGGAAGAACTTTTAAACTCATTTCAAGTGACGTTTTAAAACTTTTCAATGCTGAATCGAAATCACCAATTTCACGTGAAAGTTCTCCAAAATTATTATATGTAGTAGCTAAATCAGCCGGATTTGTTTGAACTTTAAGTGTCATATTATAGAATAATATCGCTGTTTGATAATCCTTTTTAGCAAAATAAGCTGCTGCAAGATTATTGTAATTTAATGCAAGTAACGATTGGTTATCCTGTGACATGGTGTCTAAAAGAGTAAGACTTTTATTATAATATTGTAAAGCACGTGTATGATTTCCTTTCAGATCATAAACTAAACCAATATTATTATATATTATTGGTATATCTTCATGAGCTGGAGGAAGTTCTTTTAATAGCATTTGATAATATGTTTCAGCTTTATCGTACTCGTTTGAATAAACGAGAAAATTCCCTAATGTTGCGACTGTTGTATTTGTCGAATCGATTTCTTTTCTTAAAAACTCAATGAATTGCTTAATATCATTGTTTTCATCGTTATTTAATGTTAATTTGACCATGTGCATATTTCCATTTTGTTCAATTGCATCAATCTTAAATATTGTTCCCATAGAAAACAATACTTCATCTTCTTGACTACTTGGAATAATATAAAATGGTGATGTAAGTATACTTGGATCAATTATCATATGAAATAAAACTGAACATTTTGAATCGTTTGTTGGTCGATCAAGACCAGCAAAGGTCATTGCAAGATTTTTATTCATTGTTGTTGATAGAAATGTATTCATTGAAATTAACTTACCAATACTTTCATTTATATTATTTAGTTCATCTGGTGAAATAGCTTGTCCACGATAAACATCTAGATAGATTTTATCATCATCGTTCTCTACGGGTGGTAGCGATTCAAGAAACTTTTTATGCAATTCTAATAATTGTGTATACAGATCTGTAATGAAATAGCGAAATTTAAATATGATATCAATATCTTGTGTACGAAGTGCTCGGTTTATTATTCTATAGACAAATGAGTCACGTGTATACCACCAGACTGCTTTATCTGGCTTATAATTGGTTTCAAATTCATTAATACTTTGAATCTGTTTTTGATTATCTGCATATTGTAGACGACATTCATTTAACATTTCATTCATAGCTCGATTATTTTGAGGTAAATGAAGTAAGACTTCTAATACTAATCGAAACCACAGAAATGATGCTTCATATTTTTTACGTACTGATTTTTCTTCGATTGTTGAGTTGATGCTAAATATACTTATTGGTATGAGATAATTTTTCATACGCAATTCAATATCCTTTGTTAACTTTCGAAGTAATGTTTCTTTATCAATAAAAACACCAACAACTTTTGACCATTTTTCATATTCACAGCTATTCATAGTTTCATTAGAAAATATATAAATTGATTCAATTTGTTTTAAGTCATGTATTGTTTCAAGAATAGATTGCGTGCTTACAGACACAACAATAAATATATTGTCGTTTATTGTCTTTAGGACATATTCAATGCATTGATCGACATCATGAAATATTTTAACATAATTGATTATTTCACGAAGTTGATTTTGTATATTATTTGAATTAATATCATCACCAAGCCATATAATTGTAAATTCTTCTAGATTTGGCCTGTCTGTAACATTCATCGAGTCCATAACATAAATGAGTTACAAAATAATTCACATAAAATCTATAAGAAACTTCCCATAAGATTTCTATTAAATGTTCTAATGTAATTTGTATAAATATCTCAATAAATGTTTGTATTTTAATTCATATTACAATTCTTATTACGTGATCACTCATTTTCTTCCAGAATCTACCCTAGAAAACCAGGATCTGCTATTTGCCTTATCCATTAGCCCAGCGAGATGCTGGACGTGTACCTGTGTTTCTGCCCTCATCTTCTGTGACACGATGTGCAGGTTGCGCGTGTATCTTTGTTTCTGCTCTTAACCTCAGTCAGTGGATGCGTGTGTGTCCATGTTTTCGGCTTCACTTAGAGTTGAGAGAGATGCTCGGTGTTCTTTCATGTGCACTGTAAAATAGAAAATAAGTTATAGAGAATAGAAAAGAATATTCTATGTATGTCCATATGAATTCGACAATGGACTTCTAATTTCTTGAAAATACGATATCAAGAAAGTTCGAAATTCAAGTTTCGATTTTCTATTTAGAAACGGCATATGTCCGAATTCCGTGAAGTCTGAACTCTTGAGAAACTGAGAACCAAAATATTTGCTATACAATGAGCACTTATGGACTTTACAAACTTCCTGGACTCACAGAAGTTGCGGAACTAAAGGAATTTATTAAACTCTAGGACCCTGAGAATCCACGAAAATAAAGAAACCTATAGATCTCTCTATATCCATAGAATTTATTTATCTCTAAAAGCCAATAAGAAACTCATGCGTCCTAGAGTGAGCAAACTAGTGTTACAATACAAGCAGTTGTATATTCTATTTGCCGTCCTACTGCTTCGTCTTTCGTCATCAGTGTCAAAGCTAAGGATACGATGAACCGCAAGATCAAGAGAGCATTTAGGGAGGGAGTAAAGTTCGTCGTTCCACTATCCGCAGAGCTATGAGTTCCTCAGTTAGTTACATGACATTGGTAGCAGCTGGATGGGTTGAAAATAGCCCATATACGACGGTTCTCATTTTCTTTATTGAATTCGACGCTTTCTGTTGGTTACCGTCAAAGAAACTTAATTTCTAACTTGCCCCAGAGAGATTCAAAACGGCAATAATGAAAGGCCACTTGTGAGTGGTTATCCCGAACGTCAGTAAAATGATGCGACTTTAAAATATGAGCTTGTGTTTTTCCCTTACCCGCAACATTCTCTTCAACTCTATTACTTTCTGGAGTTCCTTGAATTACTTGGGCTTCTGGTATTCTTTGAATTCTGCGGATGCTCTAAGTTCAGAATATTTGTAGAGCTTTTTGTGGAACTCACATATTTTCGAAAAAAATGGTGAGTGTAAGTTTTTAGTCGAAGTTTTTAGGGCTTTCCTTCCTACACTCTACAGATGTGACAGACATGGTTAGATGAATCTGTGAGTTCCACATTATAGCCTCAAAGGGGCTGCATTGGCAAGCTTTTTTAATTAGAAGTGATAGGTTTTTATTTTATTCTTTCTTTTGAAAGGAGGGTAATGCCGCGGGCTCTAAAAGAAAGCGTATTCTGCGAAACCCATTAAGGATTTCCTATTTTGTTATTATTTGAAACCCGTTGAGCTTCCAAGGATGAGTCTCCGAGCTCCTGCAAACCCTAAACACGACTGTTCTAACCATTTATAGAATGCTAATCTCAAAGACGGATTAAAAGTTCTCGAGCTCATATAAATTATAAGGCGTTACGTGTCATGCAGCTCTAATAATACTTTACATTCATTTTACGATAAACTTCAATCTAAACATAAAGATGAAGTTAAATTATATAATGTTTCAGCAATGGTACTCACTATTATTCATAACTAGCAAGAACCCGTGCATACTGCACGGTGGTCCTGTAAAGTTTCACATCTGTCCTTTAGCCTTGGTTCGATAATAGACAATCAGACAATTCGCATTGTATATATCGAGAGATCTTATAGCCTTCTACCCCCCGTAGTCTTACACTCTTGTGGTATTACCTCTTATAGCTTTATTCCGTTATATCCTTATCGTTTATATCCTCTACAGCCTTATCTACTTATCCACTATACCATTATCTCCTTATACTCGTTTAGTTTTATTCCTTATGTCCCTACAGCCTTAGCCTCTTATCCTCTTTATCCCTATATCCTTATCCCCTCATCCCCCATCCCCTTATAGCCCTTGAGGACCTATGGATACTCCCGTATAATAGCCCTTGAGGGTCTATGGGTACCCTTATATAGCAGCTCATGAGGATCTATGAGTACCTTCATATAATAGCTGTTGAGGGCCTATGATATTAGCGGAACCAGAAAAAAATTCTAGGGACAGCTCAACTCCTTTTAAGACCCCTATAGGGGGAGCTCACATATGCATTGACAGCAGTTTCAAATTTTCTAGGGGGAGCTCGAACGTTTGTAGGAGGAGCTGAGCTTCCCCTAGACCACCCCTGGTTCCGCCACTAGTTTATGGTACTCCTATATAATAGCCCTTGAGGACCTATAGATACCCATATGGCCATGTTCTTTTGACCTTTGACCCGGCACAGACACACACAAACACTGAACCATATATATACAGATGATGGACTTCAATCTAAACATAAAGGTAGAGTTCAATTATATATTGGGTTGGTACATCAATTCTGCATGGTTTTTTGTTTTTTTCGGCAAATTTGAGGCTTTATGTCTCTTTCTAATCACGATATATAAAGCCGCCAATTTGTCGAAAAAAACAAAAAACCATGCAGAATTGATGTACCAACCGAATATATAGCTTGCAAAATAACACATTATTATTAATAGCATGGGTTCTTTTAATCATTTTCTCTAGAAAAAAGTAGTCTAAAACAATCAAAGCGAATAAATTGCTTGCTTTTATCTAATTCTTCTTTATCCGAATTTTATTTCTCGACAAAACTGGAAAATAAATTAAAGTTTCGATGAAACAGGAGCTCACTGATGACCAGTAAAGGATAACAATTCATGTGTAAATAATCAATCAAACCAAGGGATTACAAGTAATGGTTGACATTTCATACACAGACGATCATGGAATGAGAAGCAGAAGATGTCACATAAAGAATAAGCAGGGAGTGTCACAATGATGTTTCGCCTTCGAAACAAAGCAAGAATATTTTTGCATAAGAATACATACGTTATTCTATAAAGTCTGCTTTATGTGATGATGTTGTTTGTAGAATTTTATACATTATATTTACGACCGTACGTCCGAAACCCAAGCAGACAAGAATTTGGAAAAACGCGTTAAAACCCTACAATCGGGAACCGTGATTGTGATCCACCCACGCTCAAAAAAATAACGCCGTTTTTTGCGTGTTTCGCGTTTTTTTGCGCTTAATTTCCACTTTTTGGCCCTGAAAACGGCGGAAATCCCACTTTTTGAGCGCTAAAACGCTTGATTTTTAAGTTCCAGAAAACTTCAGAAGTAAAAGCACGTTTTAACGCTCAAAAAGTGGGGTTTCCGCCGTTTTCACGGCC